AGTATCAGATAAGAACTTACAGCGGATCTTTCTGGGGTTTGACATTTTTCTCTTTCATAATTTGGTCCGCACATTTTTCTAACTGATCCTTGCTGGCTTCCAAAGCTCCTCTTAAAACCTACAAGGGATGAAAGCACAGGCGAGTAGGTTACAGAGAAGAAAACATACAGGGAGTGACCACACAGTGGCAGCTGTATAATCTAAGCGTCAGCCACGAGAAAAAAAACAAACAACCTTTCAAAGTCGACCTCAAAAACAAAGAAAAAGATGACAAAGCACTTCTGTCTCGTCATTGAATGGACTGTTGGTCGGAAAATGCTTATCCAGCTACCAATGATAAGTAGAGTCAATGCATCTAAGCTGGGCAAGTGTTTTGAAAGATAAGAACTGATTAAGAGCACAGGATATGACTTTACATGAGTTCACATACCAGATGACTAACAGCTCTGTTGCTAAACATGACGTGTATTCTTTTCACTCCTCTGTAGGCTTACATAGTTTAGACATCAATTTAAGTGAGATTATTATCCAGATCTAAAAAAAAAAAAAATCAGATAAACCCAATCCAGCGACTTTCTATTGGCTCCCTACACACACTGTTTGTGTCAAAAGCACCAAATGGGTTGCTCATATAATGTTTCTGAAATTCTGACCCTATTAACATTGTTAAGGGCCTCAGGTAGGGCTGCTCAATTAATCGTATTTTAATCGCGATTTAATCGAAATAAAACGATAATTTTTTTAATTATTACTTTTTTTTTTTTTGTTGAATTATACTTAAAGTTCAGGGTAACTGTTAAAAACATACGGTTCAAATTGTTTTTCTCCAATAAATGGATGTTTTCAAAGTCAATGAATAATCGCAATTACAATTATTAACCCTCAGCCTCAGGTCAACCCAACAAAGATTTCCAGCCATCCAATAGTTTACACTCAAACACTCATGACAATGGAGACTCGAAAACATGTATATGGCAGTTCCATTCAAACCTTCTTTTAAGAAAGTGGGTTCATCATTTAGTTAATACAATTCCAACAATGTATAACGCTAACCAAATTTAAAAAAAACTTCAAGAGCCCAAAGTAATATTTTCAAAACAAAAAACGATTATCGGTAGTTTTTCTGTTTTTCATCAAGTCCGTGCAAAAGAGGGGAGTTTGTTTTTCAGCTATACAAAAGGAAACTTCAACTTGAGCATAAAACAATACAAATATTTATAATAAAATATATTCCTAAAACACAAATACTGGAAATGAACCAGGAGCAATCTTTTGTACATAAAGAAAATATCCCTGTAACACATTATCTAACAGAAACACACAGTGAACATTGTATTACCTTGTTCTTTGATGAGCGGAGAGAATATTCTGCAACAAGACACGACAAGACACAGATTAAAATAATTGAGTAAACTATGCAGTAAAAGTAAACAAGATTTGGAGTGAATTCACTGACCTGCTTTGGATGTCCTTGTTGCCCCAGGCTTGTTTCCGGAGCATATTCGCTGCAGCTCACATGTCCCTGTGGCCTGCCGGATGAACCACTTCAGCCAATATCTCAGGAAGGACGTGTAGACATACTGCCAGATATACCCAAGCATCTTCTATAACATGGACAGAGAATAGAAAGAACAATATGACAAGAAGCAGAACAATTGAAATCCTGCATCAGAGTAGCACCCCTTCAACTGTTCAAGAGTGCACTAAATGTCACTGCAAGCTGTGGTTAAGCCCTGGTCCAGCTGGAGCTGAACTAATGAATAGAATGACTAGCAGCTTTTTTTGTTGGTGTTATCCATTGATCTTTGTCATAAAATAATAGAAAACACACTTCAAAACAAACCACTAAAATAGTCCATTTACTAAAGCCGACAGCAAGAAAGGAAAACATTAAACTCACATATGAGAAATTGGAACCATCAATCATTTGGCATGTTTCAATCTACTTATCAAATAATTTACTAGCTTAAAACTTTTTTATACAAATGGAAACGTTGAACTTTAAAATGCACACTTTGACAAGCAACATTCATCTGAAAGTAAAAATGGCAATAGTCAACTATATCTACCTCCCAAACGTATTTAAGTTCAGTGTTGTTTGAGTGTCTGCACTTTTCCACCAATGCCTAACGAGACATCAGCATGAATGGGACACACTGGTGACTGTCATCATGACAATGGCCACAGTTCAGAGTTGTGGACAAAATATTCTGCGTTTCAAACCAGGTAAGAGTCCATGATAACATGTATGAGAGTCAACTGAACATTCACATCTACAAAACTACAAATATATAATTTACAATAAAACTGGATTATGTGAAATTATCCTTTAACCGAACAGGCAAATTCCATTGTGGTAGCTAGCATTAGCGCTAAAGCTAACTTTATTCAAACGAACCTATTCCGTTTATGTTAAGCTACAAACATACGGCGAGTTTAGTTGCGCTTTAGAAACACTCCACCTACGTGTTAGCAAACTGAGAGCTAGTTACCTGTGACTCTAATAAACTAATTGAGCTAACTAGCTGAACAACTCCTAGATGACAGGTTCACACAACAGGTTGTCATTGTATTCGCCAAACTGTTAGCACACGTTAGCTGTGTTATCCTAGATTAGGTTGCGTCAGATGCATTGTTGTTATTGTATAGTATACATGACGAACAAAAGGCAGAAGTTAATCTTACCCTTTCTGCCGAAGAGACCAATATATATCCAAACTTGTCTCCACTTGCTGCTGTTAGCTGAGGGGCTGGTGAGTAAATGTTAGCTTCGTTTCTCTTGACAACAATCTGGCTCTGATGCGTTCAGGCTCTGCCCAGACATACGGCTGTTCACACGCAAGCATTACACGCAGTTGGGAAATTGACGATATTTGAATGACAAGTATACTCAGAATTTAACATGACATACTTGTTTTCTTTTTATGGGTACCGGTGTTTTGCAAAATGTGTATAAATAGCGGAAACGCTTCGAGAAACTTGGGTTGACGTTTTCCTTGTATGCTACTTTTCTTGATTTCTTTGAACACACCACACGCCACGACAGCCTTTCAGTGACACAACGCTGCAGTGCCATCTACTGTCCAAACTGATGTGTGCACCAAAGCTAAAGAGAAATACAACCTTTCATGTTATGTATTCCAAGCATTATCTCGAAAGTAAATCCAGATAAATGGAGTGTTAACAGGAACAATCTTACAATCTGTTCTAAAGCTTCAACGTGATAAGCTTTACAATACTGACCTGCGAACTCCATATACTACACACAGGTCACCAGGTCAACCTAGCAACTTAATAGAGGTGGCAGAGTGTATTCTGTTGCAGCTGGCGTTCTCTGCATTGTGCTGTTCCACAATTGCAAATGTTTGATGAAGTACCCAACCTTTTTTTGATTATTTTTAGTTTTGAATGTGGCTCCCCAAAGGATTTTGTCAAATCATCTTAAGTTATTGTCTTCTTACTGCTTTTGAATCTGTTGTGTAAAGCAATTTGGGTCAAATCTTGTTGTTTTCAAATGTGCTTTTTCCCCCAGCTTGACTAAAAGTCATTATTTCAGACATACCAAAGCTCACTGTAGTTGTGTTGAAATTATTGTCTGCATAAAGTCGGTTTCAGCTAATAGAACCAGTCTAGCCAATCATTTGCCTTTCCAAATTCAACCACAAGATGATGCTAGATCCACCAATTGACTGTGTCAGGATTAAGTTAATAGTCTACTAAAAAATAGACCAATTATTTGCCTTTATGTCTCCAGTATTCCACACAGATTCCATTAATAGGGAGTTTTGCACATTTTGTATCATCATATCTTGGCCATATACAAAATGGTTGCAGACATATTGCCTTATCAATAAATTACATTTCTTCTCACCAACTGTGTCCTATATTCCAAACAGGCTGTCGTCAGCCTGAAGCAGCAAGTCTGGCCTCTCAGCATTTCCTACAGTATGTCCTGAGTCGCTCACCAATGGTGCACTCCACTGTAATTAATTCAGAGTATACCTTCTCACCTAATCAGTCCCTCTGGGCTTTTTAAACGCAAGAGGTCTATCCCATACAATTACTGCATTTCAAGAGGAGCTCCTATCTCAGGTCCAGGCTATTTTTAAACATTAAGGAACAAAGTAACCACTTATAATAAGAGCCTGGGTCCAAGGTAGCCAGTAATGCTGATATTGATATCAGTTAATAAAGCACTGATGACCGCAGGGACTCGTCCTTTGGGTGCCACCAGGATGACGTGGTTGACAGGAGGACCAAACAAACAGAAAACCAATGCAGGTGTTCTTTTGTACAAGTATGTCAAATGTAGTCTCAATCACTCACACTGCAAACCTGATGAGAAACCATTACTTTCCAGGATATGGTAGAAAGTGATGATAGAGAGAACACGGTTGTTATTTTTTGACACACTTTCTTTGGTTTGGTAAAAAAGGAAATTCAAATGTAATATTCCACTGAAACTTATCTACAACAGGATTTAAAGTCATTACCAGATTTGTTTTGGGAATTAAATATTGAAACCTGTTTATTTTATCATCTTGGTTAAATGTATTTTTACAATCTTTTTATCCTCATAAAACCTTTTTCAAAGTGTTGTCATCCACAAAGGAAAACAATCCAAATATGTGTTTCAAATAAACTTAGTCCAGTGTCTTCAATCTGTTTACACACAATACAACTTTACACTTTCAAACTCACTGCAGTGCAGAGTGATGTTATTTATACGCAGATTGAAGAGAATGAGTTGCAAATTCATATAGGAATAATTCAAAAAGACACAAAAAAACATATCCTCTGTCTATATAATATAGCAGGCTGCCTTAGCAACAAAACCATGCTGCCTGGATCTAAGAGTAATCCATTTCAAGTGCAAGTGACGCTGGATGCCTGCGGCTGATACAGCACTGCCTCCACCCTCACACCCCCCCCCCCCCCCCCCCCCCCCCCCCCCCCTCCATTCATCCATTCATAGGTTCACTCTGCTGCACCACGTCTCCTGCGCTGGACCTCTTCAGTCACACACCATGAGAGGTCCATTTTGAAAAGGGTGCACTTTTCCCCCCACGCAACAAGAGCATCCCTCGGTCGGACGGCGGTGACTCATTGCGCGCGGGCAGATAGGGGGGTGCATTTTTACGCTTCGGTGTGGAAGATCGATACATCTAATATCGTGGTGGAAGGCGTGGCTTGGTGTCACCGACAACAGAGCTGCTTTTCCATATTCATTTTTAGGGTTTTGGTTTTGCTTCATCTCACTGGCACGGACGCACCCCCAAAAGGAGCGAGCGGGACATACAGCGTCTCTCAAGGTAAGAAGCCCCCCTCCTCTTCTCATTACACGGGTTTCATGCGTATCAGATGTAGAAATTGTCCGCAAGGTCATATCATATCAGCAGATATCAGTGGCCTCTATAATATTGGGCTGGGACAGGACTCTAGATGTGGGCTACAGTACATGACATAGATCTTAATTGTCCCGAGTGGTCGTGTGCAGCACTTTAAATTATGTTCCTCGATTTCACATTCAGCACACACTTTCTGTTATTCCTAAACTGCTGCAGGCTAAATACACCGGGGCGTTTTAACTGTTGAATAAACACACTGGATTTATGCTCCCCACAAATATTTGCACTTTGAAAACAGACATGCAGATGCATAGTGAGAGCACTAATGAGCTACACCTGCACAGGACCCAGCACAGCAGGTGTTTTATTCAAGTTACAAATTATTATTTTCCGTACATCAAGAGATATATTTTTTGTTATTATTTGGTAATCTAGACATGAATGTGACCAGATCTGGAAATACATAATGTTTGTTGTAGTGTAGACTTGTGACGATGCTTGTTTTTGTGAGTATAGGAATAACCTAAAAGACAAGGCTGGGTTTAACCTTACTTCCACTGAGATGAGTTTCACATTATGCAGATCATCATCAGTAATGTCACTGAAATGGAGATAGCCAACTTGCTCCCTGTGGAACAGTGAATTATCAATGGTGGTTCTTTCTCCTTTTGTATGAAGCCTATTGATGGTTTTGTAAGATTAAAGGAATCCTTGCAATTATTTTTGCCTGACTCCAAACTATCGGATACTTCAGATGTTTGCTGAGCGCTGGCACATCAGTTGAAGTGCTCAGATGCTTTTACACTTTAGGAGACGGACTGAGCTGAAGTCACGCATCAGGTGTGGGATCAAGAGATTTGTGAAAGTCAAATGTTTAGTAATATATTAATTATAAGATCAAATACACATTATTCTAAGCGTTCAAACCATTTCTGTTTATGCTTCAGTTAATGTGACCTGAGAGAAAAGAGGAGTTAAACTGCAGCAACACTTTAGGTGTGTCTAAATTCTCATATCATTTCAAATAATCATTGATTTACACTTGATGCTAACAGGGCTATGCAATCTATAAAAGAACACAGTAGTGAACAATTTAACTGTAACAACAAGATGACAGGACTCCCTTCTGTGAGCATAAAGAAGGGTTTTGACCAGCTTTGTTATACTGACACTCCTTGTACTGTAACACTGATTATTATCTGTATTTATTAAATATTTAGATGAGAACTGTGTGATAAGCAAACGCATCAATTATGAATTTAGGAATAAGATAAGATAAGAGAGATAAGATTTTCTGCACACTTCTTCAGGATAACCCCAAGTAATTATGTGTTGTATTAGTTGTACAATTGGCTTTCTGGCTTTTACAGTAAACCACTTATAAGAGCCTCAAATAAAAGAGTTATTGACAGGGAATGCTGTCCATTTATTGTTTCAATTGAACCCATGGATTTCTGCAGTAAATGCAAGAAAATAAATCTCCAATTTCAGTGTATAAGACATTCAAACTAAAATGGTTTATATAATCATTTGAATCATGCTTTGATTGAAGTTCACAAGCAACTTTAAGGGGAAAAACACACTACAGTACATTCTTCTTACTTCCAAGCAGTAGTTGAATTAGAGACATTGATTGTTCTGGTCCTTTTCCTTTATTCAAACTGATTATTTGAATGTGTGTTAATGGACCTGGGACCTGGACTGCATTTGACCTAATGCTTACATAATCTTGGCCTGGACTTCCATGTGAGTCTGGTCTGATATGTTTTTTATCTCAAACATTTAAAATCAAAACTAAGCCAATTTCTATTTTCCTCCTTTAGGGACTCACACAAAGGCCCCATCTGTTTTCATCTTTGGATTACAACAATATTTAAAGACTGAAACAGTGAATCCAGCATGGGAACCAACCCAAAAAGGACAGTGACAGTCCAGATGGTGCCTCAGCTGGCTGTGATAGACACGCTGGGCAATAAGGAGCCGAATGCCAACTGGGCGAACGAGCCCAGCCTCCAACTCTCTCAGGTTTGTCCAAAAACAACCCTCACATCTCCCGATCACACACAGGATAACTCATCTCTGACTGCCGCTCCCGATATCACACAAATCCCCAACACTGCTTCAAAGGGAGGAGAACCAGTCTGCAGCACTGTGTCAGACAAACCAGTACCGACTAATGGAAACCAGACAAAGACAGAACCTGTGACAGGAGGAGATCAACAGATGCAAGACCCGTCTCTAACAAGCCAAAGTGTGGATGAAGCAGGACGAGACCAGAGGGATTCAAACGCTAATATTAAAATGATTAGCCAGGCTGATAAAAAGGATATCTGTAAGGCAGATACAGCTCTAACAGCCTTAAAGATCGACATGCAGAACAATGATTGCAGAATAAAAGGGCCGAGTGCAGCAGAGGAGGAATGTGCAAAGTTGGCATCCTCCTCACGAGAAGACAGTAATAAAAATGTACCTGCAAGTAATACAAATCTCAACAACCCCTGTGAATTAAGGCATACATCATCTGAACCACAACACGATAATAAAGAGAGCAGTACAGCTCCAAAAAATAAGGACACAGCTGTACCACAAAAACTTCAAGAGCTGGATCATATGTGTAGCAGCTCACAAAGCTCTGTCAGTGCGAAAGAGACTCCCAAAGCTCAACAACGCATAGAAACTACTGCAGCTTCTCATTGCTCAACTACACCTCCGTCTAAGAGCAATGATGTAGAGGTTAGGTGTACTGATACGACTTCAAGTTCATCACATCCAGAGAAAGACATGCCACCAGTAAAGAAAGCACAAGTCTCTTCAGATAAACAACAACCAGCGTCTTCTCAGAAGGACTTATCCACGCTGGATGATCCCAAGGAGACTCCCAAAGCTAAACAAAGCATAGAAACTACTGCAGCTTCTCATTGCTCAACTACACCTCAGTCTAAGAGCAAGGATGCAGAGCTTAGGTGTACTGATACGACTTCAAGTTCAACACATCCAGAGAACATGCCTCCAGAAAAGAAACCTCATGTCTCCTCAGATAAACATCATCCAGCATCTTCACAGAAGGACTCCTCCACTCTGCCCCAGGCGTCACAAATCATGAAGGCAGATGCGTCGGAGGAAGCCACCCAGATCAACACATCTGTCTCTGAAGGGCAGCAGCAGCTCGGCAAGCTGTTCAAGGAGGCTTCAACGATGACTTTATCCCCGTTCCCCACCCCAGTCAAGCAGCTTCATGATATGGAGGTTCAGGCGGTTGCAAACACGTGCAGCAAGGCCGTGTCCACAAGTCCCAGCCTGCTGCCTTTCACTGTGCCTCGCAACGGTGGAGCGGTCCCCAGGGAGGCGGCGCAGAGCCTGGCTGTCGTCTACCAGGCCGACGGGGGTGTGGGAATACATCAGATCAGCATGAGTCCTCTACCTACTGATCCAAGGTCAGAGAGACTCACGGTTGAGGCGGAGATGTGCCCCAACCAAAACGTCGGTGTGGTTTTTCCTTTAGAAACGTTGTCCCAGCAGCAGAACAAAAGGCTCGGAGCAAAGCCTAAAGACTCGGCTCTCTGCAACACACAGCCAGTTTATCAGATCAATATTGAACACAGCAACCCCAAGGAGCAAGGAGAGACCGGTAACTCCCAGAATACAACAAGTGTTCAGAAATCTACAGCAAAAACAGCCACTGCTGAGGCTCCCACTCTTATATCAGGAAAAACCCAAGAGACAGCCGGTGCTTCCAAGGCTGGATCTGCTGACAGTAACAAAGCTGTGCTGTCTCAGGCTGCTGTTAACACCAAGCCAACTCAGGCCCCGCCAACAGCAACAAAAACAGCATCCAAGCCAGAACCAAGGAAAGTAAAAGCTGCAAGTCCGAAACAGAAGGCTAAAGCTGGCGGTAAAGCCTCGAAGAAGGAGACAAAGTCAAGCAAACAGAAGATGGAACAAGAGAGGAAGAAAGAAGAGGACGAGCTGAGGGAAAAGGGCATCCATGATGTCGTCTGGGATGAACAGGGCATGACCTGGGAGGTCTACGGGGCGTCGGTGGACCCAGAATCCCTTGGCTTTGCCATTCAGAGCCACTTGCAGTGCAAAATCAAGGAGCAAGAGAGGAAACTGGTGGTGCAGACCTCCATCAGGAAGTCGGACTCTGGTGCGGACTCGCCGGCCCACGGCAAGAAGAACAAAAGGAGGCAGCAGAACATTTTCAGGTCAATGCTGCAAAATGTCAGACGGCCAAACTGCTGCGTGAATCCCCCTTCCTCCGCCGTCCTCGAGTAGCAAAGCGCCAGAGGTAGCCAATGTCAAACTCTTCCCTTTTTCCTAGAGGTCAAAATGTTTGTCCTCCGTCGACATGATTGCGAGATACAAGTGAGAGCATTAATGAGGCGACGAGTAAGTAAGTCAGTGAGTAAGTAGATTGGACTGTTGTAGCATAAAAAGTCAAACTATTTGTGATGTTTGTGAAGAAGGTAGAAAATAGAAATATACTATGAACAACCCAAGATTTATTTTATAGACATAGATATGATAAAAAGAGAGAACTTTAACTAACAGAGGCAATAATAGAGGAACGCATGTAAAAAATAGGATTGTGTGACCCAAAGTGAAGTGCAGACCTTCACAGGGGAAGGCACTGAGCGCAGGGTAGACATATTACTAAATATTTGTGCAACTATAACCAACATCTCATTGCATTTGGTGCATTTGGTATATGTTTTTGAGGTGTTTCTTTGGGGCCCTATATTTATAAGATTGTTGTATTTTCCTTTGCACATTTATCTTTAGTAAGTGATTATGTTGTGCAAAAAAGGGACTGTATGCAAACATGCGCTGTTTAATCTCTTTTCTTCTTTGGTTTTCTATTAAAACAACACAAAACTAAGTTGAGCTTTGCATACTCTTCATTTAGCACCAATGTCCTGATTGTTGTCGAGCTTAAATTAAACTTCAAAAGAAACTAAAACAGAATAAAATCAAGATAAATCAAGAACATCAATAACTGGAGGTGTGTGTGTGTGTGTGTGTGTGTGTGTGTGTGTGTGTGTGTGTGTGTGTGTGTGTGTGTGTGTGTGTGTGTGTGTGTGTGTGTGTGTGTGTGTGTGGTGTGTGTGTGTAGTGTGTGTGTGTGTGTGTGTGGTGTGTGTGTGTGTGTGTGTGTGTGGTGTGTGTGTGTGTGTGTGTGTGTGTGTGTGTGTGTGTGTGTGTGTGTGTGTGTGTGTGTGTGTGTGTGTGTGTGTGTGTGTGTGTGTGTGTGTGTGTGTGTGTGTGTGTGTGTGTGTGTGTGTGTGTGTGTGTGTGTGTGTGTGTGTGTGTGTGTGTGTGTGTGTGTGTGTGTGGTAGGTAATAGAGTGACAGACTGCAGCTGAGTGAAGAGGTACCGTATGTTTTAGAAAGCGCTTGATAAATTAATGTCAAACTTCATGAGCCAGTTTGTGATCCCCATCGAGGGCATGAAGTCTGTTCAAAGGATAGTTTGCTCCTAACTATTTCCCTTTTGATTTACACCAAGATATGCGTGCAAGTCTAGACCGAACACTTTTTCTTTTAAGTTTAAATCCACCATTTAGCATTGCCTTCTTGTTTGTGAACAGAAGATGTACAGGGTTCAGTCAGCCAGAGAAGACTTTTCTGCAGAAGTGTTTTATAGGTCAGAGAAGGACAGCAGGGACTAGATCTTTCTAAGAACAAGATGTATTGCTTTGTCCTGCTGTAAGTCTGAATTTAAGATAAGATTATGAGCATATCATTTGGAAGCAGTGCGTAGTCAGAGAGGGAGAAGAGGCCTGAGAATCGGTTATTTTATGCCTAAAGTCTGAAATGGGCAGTTTTATCTGCATTGAACAGAATAATTGTCTTTTGCCCATTTTGCAAAGCTGCAGAGGGAAACAGACACACTGTATTATATGCAGTCATATATACATTTTATAGTGCTTCGAACAAAGGTGGAATACAAATAAAGGTGCAATTAGAGCTGAAACAATTTGATCAATAAGTCAATCGGCCCAAAACAAACAGCATCTATTTCGACACATGATTAATCCTTAGGCACATTTTCAATGATGGTTACAATACAAAAAATGTAAATGTGTTTTTTTTGTGCTTGTCATTAGATGATAGTAAATGTAATATTTTATGTTTAGACTATTTTACAAAACACGACATTTGATAATTTAAAATTGAGTAGGAAAATGTGATGAACCATTTTCTGATGTTGCATCCTCCAAACAATAAATGTATTCATCAAAGAAAGAAAATCAACAGATGATTTGCTAATAAAATGTCACTTGAATCCCCAGACCCAATACAAATGTAATTGAACATAATCTCAGTCTGAGCTCATCTAATTTAATTAAAGTTTCCAGGTTAGTACTAGGGCTCTTGTCATGGGATTTCCAGCCGCCATTGTTCACTGTAACAGTATGATGATTACATTGTAATGTTATATCATCGTTTTCATATAGCTTTGCTTTGACTGAGTCACTTCATATTTTGAGGAATATTTCCAGAAACCCTTTTTCTTTTATGGTACACTTCCTTTCAGAGTAAATGTACTCTTCTGTTCGGTGAAACGCTGATTTCAAGCGACTGCAGTTATTGTCTTAACAAGCATGTCACTTCCTGTTAGTATCAGGATGTGATAGCATGGGAGAAAAGTCCTCTGTATTCGTAGTCACTGGGTGTTTCTCAATCTCGAGGAAGGCTGCTCCAGAGCCACTATTTCAAGCATACTACGTCATCGAGTGCCGCCGAAGGCCTGTTCCAATTTCCAGCATACTTGGAATTCTACCGAGGCCGGTGTCAGTACCAGATATGTTCGGCCTACCAAATATGTTCGGGTGTATTTCCGTCGCATCCGTCATCCGTCATATCCGTCATATACTCACCTCCCTCTGCTCCCAGCGCTATGCTGCCACACACCGGCCGTCTGCGGAACTGCAGCCGGAGGAACTCGGTACAGCTTGTTATGTGTGTGTACTTAATTATTTACAATTAAAAAATATATATATTCTGCGTTACTTTAGCCAACACTTTTATAATATATAAGCCTGATCATGTCGTTGAAAGCAAGTACAGATGTTCTCCCTTTTCCACAGTTCTGTGTGAACTTCATCTAAGGTAGATGCTTTGCTTCTGCACCAGTTTAGCAGAAGTCTGTTTTGTAAGACTGGTTTTGTTGCAGTCTGTTCATGCTATGTGTTTCTTGCGTAAGACTATATACACACGGAACACATGTATTACAGGGCTGTACCCAGTGTGCTTCATAAAACATTTTTGAAGCTTATTTTTTAAATTAAGCCGTTTCCATGTTATAACAGCATCTCGTTAAATCAATATCGGAAACAATAATTGTCTTTTTGTGGTTATTTAAATGTAATTTATGGTGCTATTAGAGTGCTTATAGACTGACCCGTTAATACAGATGCCCCCCCCCCCCCCCCCCCCCCCCCCTTTGTGTGCGGTGAGCTGGAGAGAAGGCAGTCTATTTATTTTGGTGAAAAAAAAAACCCCTAACATATATGGATTGAATCAGAATATTGTGTTGGATCAAAACATATTGTACATTTTGAGAATTCTTACATCTATTACAATACATTTTGAGCTTTGGACAATGTTTGGATCAAACGAGCCAGAAACAACCTTAAGCAGCCACCACTGGAATATTATTGCAGTAATATCATAATACTAGTAGCCTTATATTAGTGTAGCCTAATATTGATCGACAAATATTTAGAAATAAATCTGGTTCTGCCTGCCTGCCTCATCGCACTATGCCCTGCTGCATTACCATGTATAGTATTTACATTCATAATGATCCTTTTTTGTTGCAGAGCTTTAGAGGCTTTAAGAGACGAACTGTCAATGATGCCAACTTGGCGACCTACAAACTAGATATAGCAATCTTGGAGCTATTGCGGCTAGCTACTTTCATTGGAAAGAGTCTCTAATTTTTTGTATGTATATATTTCATATATCCATCCCAAGCTTACCTACCCAACTGAATGAATTCACACATTCAAGTAAATAGAAAGACAGCACAGCATTCAAGTGTTTATTGAGAATTTGAACTTCAACGTTAATGGAAAAAGCTCCAAACTTTTCTCTACAGCCCTTAGTATCAAGAAATCCTTCTAGTTCCTTTTACATGTGGATAGGAAAACAGCACAGATTGTTCAGAATATATGAGGAAGCCATCAGGGAAGCAGCATGACCCAAGGCAGGACTGCAGAGACAGGTTCAGCCACGACCCGAAGTCCACGACCCGAAGTCCACGACGGGCAGCGTCCGGGAAAACCAAACTTGAAGGTAAGATATCAAATGATGATCTTCATTAATTGCAGTGACAATTTAGTCTATTCTGACATTTGTTTGTGTGAGTTAATCTTTACCTATGATATCTGGTTGCAGAAGGGACTGCAATAGCCTGGATGTTGGTCATCAGAGTAGATGCCCTGCAATTCTCCTCTTTTACCTTTCCCAACATATCCTATGAATAGAAAAAGAAAATATTGTAATTGAATCACACTAGGACCACAACACACTAAATATGTAATGACACATAAACATTATTATCCAGAATAAGAAGTCTACCTGGTTTGCAGTTTTTGTAAGGCTCCAAGCATCCACGGCAGGTGTCAATGGTGTACATGACGTTGAAATCCTGCTTGTATGAAGCAGAGAACAAACTCCATGTAGCAACACCTGTGTAAAACAAGCATTTCAATAGAGCCATTAAAAATATGCATAGACACCACAGCTGTCGTATACTGCTGCACCTTCACTGAATCACTTACTCTCAAGCCAGCGAAAGTGGGCCCCTCTTCTGAAAGACACAGTGGACATTGTGTCTCTGAAGGTGGTACACACTAGAGTGAGTGATGAGTACGCTTTGTCACCTTCCTGGAGAACCACTTCCATCAGAAGGTCCGAGAGAAGACAGTTTGGCAGCTGTGAAGTATTGGTCAGACTAGATCAAACATATTTAACAACACATTGACTAGACTGTTGCCAGCACAATCGAAATACCAAGATTCTTTGGGCTTCAGGTAGCAAAAAGACACATTTTTAATATTAATGTTGAATATATCACACACATTTTTCTTATGTTTTGTTATTCTTCTCCTTGAGGTAAAAAACAGCTATCAATAAAGTTAAAAAAAGCAGTGAGACATAATAGTTGGAAATTCTGCCGTGATCACAGGTCGTTTTTTAAACAAAAAACAGTTACTGCTTCACTGAAAAGATATTACCTCCAATATGAAGCACATGTCGGACTTTTGAAACTGGACCTTTGAAGGAAAATATAAGGTGTGGGTCATGTGATTGTTTAATTACATGTGTATACAATTATCAATATGTATGCATGTGTTAAATAATCTGGATCTGTCCGTGGCTATAAAAATCACATAATATCAGGATGAAAATGTAAATCAGTGTCAAAGAAACTGTTGTCTATAAAGTAACATTTAAAATGTATGATTTACCCTTCAATCTGGTACCGTTCCATGAGCATAATGCACCACCATTTCCGGATCTGTGCTATGTCCCGCTAAAAGAAAATGTAACAATAATAAAGTTGAAAATGAATGGAACCTCATCATTTGTCTACTCAATGTTAGCCCCCTCTTCCCCCTGAAATACTAACTCAGAGGATAAATACTGACCTCGGTAAACCAAAGTAGAGCATCTGTGCTGAAGTTGAGTGCATACTGTGAAAGGATAAAGATCTGTTAAGTTATGAGTTTCAAAAACTAACAAAACCCCTTAAAAAAAAGTGTCAAGGGAGGAATTTACCATCAGTATGAAGACACCACAGTCATTGCCCGTGGTTTGGTGAGGCTAACCCTGTAAGAATTTGGAATATAACAGTGATGTTCATGGTCAAATGGAAAATAAAGACATGTGAAAGCAGGTGTATGAGATGGTGGAGAAATGTACCTTGACGTCTCTGCCGAACTTTACTGTCCACTGACCTGGAGCAATGCGGTGCGCTAGGTCACTGTCAAAAGAAATGATAAGACATGGGAATTGATTTGGTGA